TCACAATCTTGCATCTGCCACTAGGGCTCTGAGTATTTTGTTTTGTTTGCAGTTTTTGGCTGGGGCTGGGTTTGAACCTGCTAACTCCGGCATATGGGGCCAGCACCCTACTCCTTTGAGCCACAGGCACTGCCCCTGAATGGTTTTTTTGCTTTTTGGTTTTTGTGTTTTTTTTTTTTTTGAGACAGAGCCTCAAGCTGTCGCCATGGGGCCATGGGTAGAATGCTGTGCATCACAGCTCACAGCAACCTCTAACTCCTGGGCTCAAGCGATTCTCTTGCCTCAGCCTTCCAAGTAGCTGGGACTACAGGCCCCCACCACAATGCCTTGGCCTTTTTTTGGTTGCAGCTGTCATTGTTTGGTGGGCCCAGGCTGGATTAGAACCTGCCAGCTCAGGTGTATGTTGGTGGCGCCTTAGCTGCTTGAGCCACAGGCACCAAGGCCAATCACCACCCTCCCCCAGGCTGACCCTCAGTCTGCCAGGAAAAATAACCTTTCCTAAACAAAAGCGCTAAGGTACTGTCAAAGCCACAGTCTGTTCCCTCTACAGCCACCAGGGGGTGCCTGGAAACACCTGAGTCAGGGACTGTCCTTTGCCCACAGCCCTCCATGGTTCTCACCTACCTCTCTCTCTTACAGTAAAAACCAACCCCTCCCTGAGGCTCACCACACCGGGCAGGACCTGCCCCACACCCTCCCCTCACTCACCTCATCTGCCCTGTGTCTTCCTACCTGGATTGTGAGCTAGGAGTCACATCCAAGCACTGGAGCCTGGTGCAGCAGGTTCTAGTCAGTAGTTAAGGAGCTGAGGACATTTCCCTGGCTAGGGTCTGGGCCCAGGCTGCACCACAGTATCTTTGGGAATGTATGTGTACCCAAAGGGGGGAACGTATGTGTACCCCCAAGCAGGGTGAGGGCTTCCAGGTATAGGGGGACAGAGGCAGCCCCATCCTGACTATTCCCCCATCCCTAACTCCCAGGCCTGAACGTTCATAGCATGCTCAAGCACCAGACCCTGGTCCTGACATTGCCCACCATCGCTTTCCTGGAGGACAAGCTGCTCTGGCAGGACTCTCGCTACACACCCCTCTATCCCTTCCGCCTGCCCTACCGAGACTTCGCCTGATGGTTGCCCTCTGCCCAGCACTGCTGTCGATGTTAGCCACTGGAAAACTTGGAGGCTTCACACCCACCTTGTGAGGGAGGTTCTACCTGGACCCCTTCATCACGGGAAGCTGAAGCCACCCAGCGGTCAAGCAGACATCACTACCAGGATGGGACACTTTTGCAGAGATCCCAGAAGGGCTTCTGCCTTCATTCTCTTTCTTTTTTTAATAAATTTTGTTTTTTAATCAAAGAGTCTGAATAGAGGAACACTCATTTTGCATAATTTACATTTGAGATGTTGGGACTTTTCCCTGCTTCTGGGCACTGTTGAGTACCTCTTTCCTCAAAGGGTGCAAAATCTGGTTTAAAAGCAACCTCGGGCTTGGCACCTGTAGCTCAGTAGCTAGGGCGCCAGCCTCATATACCAGAGCTGGCAAGTTTGAACCCAGCCCAGGCCTGCCAAACAACAATGACAACTACAGCAACAAAAGAAAAATAGCCAGGTGTGGTAGGCACCAGTAATCCTAGCTACTTGGTATGCTGAGGCAAGAGAATCACTTAAGCCCAAGAGTTTGAGGTTGCTGTGAGCTGTGATGCCGAAGCACTCCACAGAGGGTAACATAGACTCTATCTCAAAAAAAAAAAGGAACCTCAGGACTTGGCCCAGTGGCTCACACATAATCCTGGCACTCTAGGAGGCTGCAGGGGTCCTCAAACTGCTGCCTGCCAGGTGTTTTTGCTGCCACTGCCTTTCCTGCTTAGCAGCCAACTTGTTCTGGGCCCATAGTCTGGCCCTCCAACAATCTGAGAGGCAGTGAACTGGCCCCCTATTTAAAAATTTTGAGAACCCTTAGGCTAAGACAATAAGATCCTTAGAGCTCAGGAGTTCAAAACCAGTCTGAGCAGAGTGAGACCCTGTCTGTACTAAAAATAGAAAAATTAGCTGGGTATTATGGCGGGCACCTCTATTCCTAGTTCCTCAGGAAACTGAGGCAAGAGTATCCTTTGAGTCCAAGAGTTTGAGATTATAATCAGCTATTATGATGTCATTGACCTCTAGCTGAGGTGACAGAGCAAGGCTATGTCTCAAAAAACAAAAGGTGCCTGTAGCTCAGCAGCCACATACATTGGTGCTGGTAGGTTCGAACCCAGCCTGGTCCTGCAAAACAACAATGACAACTACAACAAAACAATTAAAAAATAGCCAGGCATTGTGTTGGGCACCTGTAGTCCCAGCTACTTGGGAGGCTAAGGCAAGAGAATCACTTAAGCCAAGAGTTTGAGGTTGCTGTGAGTTGTGATGCCACGGCATGCTACCGAGGGTGACAGACTTGTTTAAAAAAAAAAAAAAAAAAAGAAAAGCTCAGGGCAATCTCAGAAGAGAGCCCCTTCACACTTTTTTTCTTTTTCTTTTTTTTTTTTGGAGACAGTCTCAGTCCATTGACTAGATTGGAAGATTGGAGTGCTGGAGCAGCAGCCTAGCTCACAGCAACCGCAAACTCCTGGATTTAAGTGATCCTCCTGCCTTAGCCTCCAAAGTAGCTGGGATTACAGGTGTGTGCCACAAAGCCCAGGCAATTTTTCTGTTTTTAGTAAAGATGTGATCTCGGGCAGCGCCTGTGGCTCAGTGGGTAGGACACCAGCCCCAGATACCGAGGGTGGTGGGTTCAGACCCAGCCCCTGCCAAACTGCAACATAAAAATAGCTGGGCGTTGTGGCAGCGCCCATAGTCCCAGCTACTTGGGAGGCTGAGGCAAGAGAATTGCCTAAGCCCAGGAGTTCGAGGTTGCTGTGAGCTATGTGATGCCACGGCACTCTACCGAGGGCGATAAAGCAAGACTGTCTCTTAAAAAAAAAAAAAA